ATATATCATCGGCGTGCGTCGGTGGCATAGCGGTTAAGACGCTCGCCGACCATGCACATGGTCCGGGGTTCGATCCCCGGCCGACGCACTCCTTTACCTCGCTGAGCTAGAAATAATGCTTGTAAAGAGAAAAGGTTGGGCATGAGGCTAGCAACCCCATCCTGTAAAAATAATCACCACTGCTACAGAAACTTCAAGCCACTAGCTTGAAGCCCTATGTTCCACTGGGCAACGTGAAGGAAAAAAAAAATTAAAAAAAAATATATCATCGGCGAAGTCCAGATCCTCCAAGTTTTTGGTAAATAGGTGTGGCCAACAACACCAATAACAACACTCGCAGTAGACCTGTATGTGAAATAGGTGCAAAAGATGCACAGTCAATTTACCAATTTTTTTTAAAGAAAAAATAATAAAAACAATAGCAAATAACTCGTAAGAAAGCAAAACTAACCCTTACAGACCAAACAATAGAAACAAATATTATTCTGATGCTCGCTAGTGACTTGCTACAGGATGAAGTTTCCTGGAGTTCTAGTGAGAAGTTGTGACCAGTGAGGTGGTCCAATTAGATGTCACGTGTGTGTGGATGGATGTCCGACCAACGACAACTGTTGGGGCTTTCCAGTGGTTCTCTAACTGATATCAGCTCATGATGAAATCCTCCATGCAATCAAACAAAATCCCTACAAAACCAATACTTGAAAATGTATCAGTTTTGTCTGCTATTTGTTTGTGTGTGATTTTCCTGCTGATTGCTTGGCGTCTGTTGATATATATCAATTCCCTGGTACGGACGGATGCTTCGACCATGTTTGAGGATCGAATTGAAGTCATCCAGTAGATGGTGACTAGTAGCAGTGAAGTCCAGATTTCATTGGATAGTGTTTGTGAAACTATGCGTACCGAGTTCGAATCTCACTGGTTGTAGGTACACCCAGATGATAAGTCCAAAATGGAACAAAATGCTGATTCTGGCCAACACCCCCCTCTAGGCAACACCCATCACACATTACTTCAAGTTTTACCTATGTCTTAAAATAAGTTAGTCAGCCTCATAAAGTGACTGGCTGATTTAATCAGATTAATCTTGCTATCTAAAATCGATAGCAATGCGCTTGTGTTAAGCGGGTAGAATGCCCACCAGTCACACACATATATGTAATCTAGGGTTCGATTCCCGGTCGAAGAACTCCTTTGGGCTTGTCTAGCCGACAGTACGCCTGGAAAATAGGGAAGGCTTGACGTGTGGCTAGCTACTCAACCCCATAAAAACAAAGCATATGCCGTTGAAATTTCAAAGCTTGAAGCTGGAGAAAAACGATGTGTGAAAATTCCCATTTAGACATTTAGAAGGCATAAAAATTGAGCAAAGAATATTCCTTCTTCATCTAGCCGTATAGTTACATATATTTATATATATGCATGAGTAAGACAAGGCTGCCTGTTATCGCCAATGATTTTCCTGATTGCAGTAGATTGGATAATGCGACAAACAGTGGCGGGCAATGAGGAAACAGGCAAAAAATGGACTCACACAAAAAACTTGGAGAATCTGCGTCTGTATTTCGCCGATGATATATGTCTGATTTCCCACAAACTGGAAGATATGCAAGCGAAAAGCAACAAGTTGACAGAAGAAGCATCCAGAGAAGATAGGACTTCCTTCAGGTGAACATAGAGAAAACAGCTGTGGTGATGAAGATTCCTGGACAGCAACAACAACAACAGACAACAATGAGCCAGCATAAATGGGAGGAACCTGAAAGAAACAACCTCCTTCACCTGCCTACCTGGGAAGCATTGTTTTAACTACAGGCGGAACTGACGAGGATATCGAAGAAGCGAGGATCGGGAAAGCAAGACAAACTCTCACTTCTCTCAAGTCTGTGTGGAGGTCAACAGCACTCAGCATGAAAACGAAAGTAGGATCCGGATTTTCAACTCGAATGTGAAGTCAGTCAGTGCTACTTGCTATACGGATCAGAGACTTGGCCAGGGCGTCATAAACAGCATCTCAAACAAACTACAGACCTTCATTAACAGTTGTCTTCGCTCAATACTCAAGATCAGATGGCCGGCCGGCCAGAAAAGATCAGGAACAGAAATCTCCAAGAGCGAACCAACTAGGAACCGATTGTGCAAGAAATAGGCAGGAAGAAATGGAGATGGATTGGATTGTGGCCATACTCTGAGGAAACAAACGATCAAGTGAGTGACATCACTAGACAAGCCATTGCTCGAGTGGAACCGGACTGAAAGGGAAGCGGCGAGTTGGTCGTCAGTGCGAGGGTGGGTGACTTGGAGAAGGAGGTCATGTGAAGAGGAGATGAATGCATGTGGGCAGACCTGAAGCAAGGTGAAATCTCTATAAGAGAACCAAACGCAATGGAGACGCACGGCTGAAGGCGTATGTTCCTCTAGGAATTAAAGGAAACAATAATAATATAATATTATAATAATAATATATATATATATACGTTGAGGAGGAAAGAAATAGTCGTATTTCATTCGTGGATACCGACGGAACAGCTCATGTCCCTTCTGCGATTTGAACCCGCGTCACCCAGTGATGCAGTGATGCAGTCAGACACGTTACCACTGAGCTATTCAGATTCGCGATAGAACAAGACGACGAAGTTATCGTGTAATAACACAGTTTTTTTGTTCAGCGAAGAAATTTCTTTTCAACGACTTCATTTTCAAGCTGTACAGTCGTATTTATATTACAGAAAAGGTTATTTAGTGGCACTAAATAATTGCTCAGTCAATACACATATATGTGATAAGAATAACGATAATTAAAATGTTATAATGGGTAGAGTTGAAGTGGATAAATTACAAAATTATTCAAGATTGTTTTATAAGTGAATTGAAATCAAAAATGTTTTAAAAATGTCAAGTGTTGTCTAAAAATTTTAAAAAATAGGAGTACGATTACGATAAGAATGAAGATGTGAAGTGAAGTGGAAAGAATTCAAGTGGTAAAATAAAATAAAGTAAAAACTAGAAAGAACATTACTATGACCAAGGTAAAGAAAGGGGTTTGACAAAACGTTTTTGAACACATAATTTAGGTTTCTGTTCATGTATAGCTAGCTAAAGCTTCGGCTATGCATAAGTGAAGAAAACGTAAACTTTTGGATCGATTCGATTTTGCCATGTAGATAACTTTGAAAGATGAATCACGTGGGGCTAAATGACCTGACTCTAACAGGTGATCACAGATAGACGACTTCGCAGTTCTACGTTCGCCTTTCATTAACCAGACTGGATAGTGTTCAGCTACACGTTTTCGGAGATTACGCTTACAACGTCCAATATAAACAGCTCGACAAGAGCAGGCAAAAGAGTAAATACACATAGATGTGGACAAAAGCGGTAATCTATCCTTGACGCATTGTCTAATCATATTACGGCTGGTAAAACTAGTTGCAAGTCAGCTGCAGGAAAAGTACGTTTAATACATTTAGATAAACGATTTTTAATCAATTCCGAAATGGTGTCACCTTTGAATGCCAGACTCATAAACAGTTTCTTCTTTGGCACTGTGATTTGTCTAGGGGTGGATTCTTTCTTGATTTTACGTTCGATAAACCTTGTATGACAACCATTGTGTAATGACAAAAATGTAAGAGAATTGGTAGTAGACCTTTGTTGAGGAAGGCACATTAAAGTTTGCTTAGGTCAGATAATAATGAATAGCTCTGGTTGGTTGGTGACTGGTCCAAGGTAAAACAATGAGACAAAAAGTTTTCCAATAGCATCATTTCATGTCCACAACGTAAACTACATCCAAATTTGAAGAATAAATACTTTTACCTCTGTAGTAGTCATTGACTTAAATTATTGATTTAAACTTTTAGCTGCTTTCTGTCAGTCTGCATCTATATACTACTTATAAGCCATGTAAGTAGCTCATGCTAAAATCGAAAAGAATATTCTTTGCTCACTGGATTTTAGTCTTCTAAACATGAAATTTATTTTCTTCTCTCTAGGCTAGTTGGCGTAAATCTTCAGTTGGCTTTTTGTATGGACTCAAGGCACCAACACAGAGATTTTTTGGGTTTTGGCACCCACAGTAGTGATGCTGTTGTTTATGTGGCTTTCAGCAAACACTCATGTTCCCTGGGATAGTTAAGATTGTTTTACTGGAAAATGGAGGTGGATAATGTGGGGTCAAATGTGGTTTTAAAATATAGCTCAGTACTCTGTGAAATATCTCTGCTCTCAATTACTTTCATTTTAATCGCATTTTTTGACCAGTCCAAAATCATTTAGTTACCGACGAAAAAGTATTCAGAAAGTCCTAATGACTACAGCTTTAAAATTTTTATCGCCAAATAGGGAATGCAGGTGCATCCAGCCAACTGATCAGTCCCAAAGAGGACGAAATGCGCGTTATCCTGGATTCCACCGCTGCTAGTCACCATCCACCAATCATATATAATACCCACCAGGGTTCGAACCAAGGATCTCCCCGTTACCATGTAAGCCCGTAGACCATCCAGCTACTGGGCTCCGACTCCATGGGCCATGGATTCCAACTTCTACCATTTCATGATTTTAGCAAGACCACCAGCCAACGTCATCGGCGAATATTTATCCACACTTCTGACAAGGTGGATCGCACTTGTCACGAATTCATTCATATCAGGTAGAAAACCACTGGGGAGTACTGGACGGCTGTTTCGTCCTAGTTTGGAATTCTTCAGCGGTTGAAACTCATGCGTTCCAGTAGTTGAATGGTCTACGAATGGTCACCGTGAGACTGAAATGTCCTGGATTCGAACTCCAGAGGATGCGTACTGCCGATGCATCCCAAACTAGGACGAGGCAGCTGTTCAGTATTTCGTGGTGGTTTCCAATGGTTCTCTAACTGATATCAATCTGTGATCAAACCTGAAATAAATCAATAAATCAATAAAGGAAGGCTATCAGTAGATCAAAAAAGTATATATATGTCTTCCTTTTCCTTTTCTTTCTTTGTTCAAATTTTTCAGGTGTTCGTCCCTACAGATGTCCAGATTGTACAAAAGCATTTACTCAACGTTGTTCCCTAGAAGCACATGGTCGTAAAGTTCATGGACGTCCATTACAGTATGCTTTCAAAGAACGTAGAGACAAGTTGTATGTATGCGAAGAATGCGGTTTCAGTACAACAGACGCTGAAACTCTACGTCAGCACACGCAGACAGTACATCTGGCAATGAAACAACCGATTGAACAAATCGCAGCTTCCACGCCTACAAATCTGCTTAATTTATTTCCAAGCTAATCTCCGACATCAGAAACTAGTATACAGAGTGCATAATTATGGTTGCATGCCATACCATACCACATCACACAGCAGTAATTAAAATAATATAGTCAGTAATACTTCAGTGATCCTTCTAACTACTCTGTTTAACCGATACACTAATTCCGTGTCCCCTAGCAATAAAAACAATTGACTGTCAGGGGTTTACGAGTGGTTAGTTAAACAAAAAACAAAACAGAAAACAACAGAAAAAGGAGAGAACTGTGTATCTTCGCCTTGATCTGTTAGTCGAGGCCGTCCTACCAACCTGTATGATATAACTGCAGTACAAGTACAGGGAGCTTATTATTATTATGTATTTTGGCTTATTTTTCCTACTTTGGACCAGTTCGATCAGAGTGATCTTTCTTTTTTGCCATTCTTCTTTCATCACTTTCTTTTATTTCGTTTCATTTCATTTCACATTATCCGCTCAGTTGTTACTTTGACTGTAATGACTGTTGTCTTCTTTTTCTTTCTTTCTTTTTTTTTAAATAGTATTTTTATTTTGGTTAATTCACTCACTTTATAAAAATAATAATAATATTTAATTGATGATACTGATTACGACGTTTTGTTTTTGAATAAAGCAGACAAGCCATTCAAGTATTGATTTTCTCTAGGGATTTGACTGATTCCTTAGAGAACCATTGAAAACCTGCAGGGTGTTGGTTGGTCGGTCGGTTTTCGACATAAAACTTTGCACTGATGTGCGGCAGTTCAAGTCGCCACACTCCACTCCTTGTAGCACACAAAGCAACAGAAGAAAGTAGGAGAAATGCATAATAGAGAGAGACAGTAAACAGAGGTTTGAGACAAAGGAATAGTGATAACGAAGAACAAAACAGTTTCATTGGAAATCATGAGTCACAAGGAGTGGATGCATCTGCGAGCCGCCAGCCATTGAGAACGATTTTGAGCCATGTCACCAATTGTTTCCAGCCTTCATTGGTTTTTACCGTCCCGAGGACCCCAACCAGGAAGTCTGCGCCTTCCTACGTGGCTTAGACTAACTGTTGTGGATTTCATTGACTGGTGCCATGTTTTCGTTTGACCGCCACTAGCTCTTTTCCAGCCTGACCCTATATCAGCTAACATTGCCCATTGTCGAGGAAGGCGATGACTAGGCATACGTAACACATGTCCTAACCATCTCAGTCGATGTAATTTCACAGTCTCGTCTACTGATTTCCCCGCCTTACCTAGCACCCGCCGACGCCTAACCTCAATATTGCTCACCTTATTTTACCACTTCACACGGGAGATAGAACGCAGACACCTATGATCGAAGACAGCTAATCTTTTCATGTCTTCCACTCTCAATGGCCAGGTCTCACAGCCAGCCATAAAGGAGGACGGAGCGGACTGTTGAGCAGTACACACGCCCTTTGGTCGATAGTCGGATATCGCGTCTACGCCAGAGATGGCGTAAACTGGCATATGCGAAACTAGCTCTCTGTATTCGTACTGAGATTTCGTCGGAGATCAACCCGTTGGCACTGGCTGATGGTACTTCCCAAGTAAGTGAAGCGGTCAACGTGCTCCACCAACCACTTCACTCCCCTTTTTCTAATCTAGGGGTCGGTGTAGTCCAATCCTGTAGCATCATCTTACATTTTACAGGGGCGAATCGCATGCCAGACATACGAAGATTGCTGCAGGGTGTACTGAACAGCCAACTGTTTCGTCAGCCTAATTGGAGACTCTTCATCAACACGCACCCACTACAAGGGTGACGAACCCAGGACCCTCTAGTTACAAGGCCGGATAGCTCGTAGACCATTCAGTCATCGGGACTCTTCTATCCAATGGCCCAGGTAGGGAGGGCGTAAAGACAATCACTTACGGAAGATATTGGGTAGTGCCAGTGGCGCTATGTTGTGGATTTGCGGAAGTTGGAATTCATGGGCCATTGGAACGGGTCCTACATGGCTGAGCTTGTCTTGTAGCAGGAAGCTCCTGGGTTCGAACCCCCCCTGTGGTGAGTGCGTACCGCTGAAGAGTCAGTGCCAAACTAGGCTAACGAAACAGCTAGCTGTCCAGTACTCCTTGCAGGTTTTCCAATGGTTCTCTAACCGATATCAGGTCATTGCGAAATCTTGTAGGCAAAAAGCATTCTTTGCGAAACTTCATTTGTAAGCTGTAGAGTAGTAAAGATAATGTTCTATAAGGTCATGGAGAGGCCTATAAAGGTCAATTGTCAAAATCAGTTGATAACATCAAATGATAAATTTAATGTATGTGGGAACATAATGAATAAATTATGAGATTTATTCCAGCTGCTGGTGACTAGCAGTAGAGTCTAGGATGCACATTTCGTCCTATTTCGCATTCATCAGCTACATGTATTTGCACTTCTATTCTTGTAGCCCTGACAACCCAGTGGATAATACTTTGGCATTTGAAATAAAGGATGTTCCGTTAGAGTTTCAGTTGAGAACACTAGTCCGAAATAGGACGAACGAAATGTGTATTTCATGAATCCCGAGTGTCCAATCCATCTCCACTTTCTCCTGCATATTTGTTGGGCGATTGATTCTTATTTTGTTTGTCTCTTGTTGGTGATTCTTTCCGGCCATCTGATCTTCAGTATAGAACGAAGATAGTTGTTGTTGATAAAGGTGTGCAACAGGCTGTTGGAAATATTCTTTGTCACCCGCCAAGTTTCTGATCCATCCGTATAGAAGAACTGACTGACTTGACGTTTGTATTGAAAATCCGAATTTTGTTGTTGAGTGTTGCGGAGTGACGAAGATTTCCAGATTGGTTTCAGGTTGATGAATGTGTTTCTCGCCTTTGCGATTCTCGATTTGACATCCTCATCCGTTCCTCCTGTAGTTGAGACAATGCTCCCTAGCTGGATAAGTGAATGAAGTAACCTCTTTCAAATCCCTCCTGTTGATGGTGATTGACGCTGGCTGTTGTTGTTGTTGTTGTTGTTGGTTGGTTATTTTCATAACCTCCGTCTTGTCTATGTTCACCTGGAGTCTTGTCTTTGCTGCTTCTTCGACCAGTTTGTCGGTTTTCGCTTGTAAGTCTTCGATTTTGTGTGACATCAAACATAAATCAACCACACGCGAAATCCAGGTCTTCTAGGTTCTTCATGTCGGTCCAGGATATCCCAGTCTTCTCGTTTCCCACTGTCTGACGACGCATAATCCAGTCCACCACAATAAGGAATATCATTGGTGATAATAAGCACCCTTGTCTGACTTCTGTGTTTCCTCCAAACGCCTCGCTGAGTTTTCCGTTGTGGATCAATTGACATGTGCCGTTGTCGTACAGCTGTTGAATAAGGTTGATGAATATTTGGGGTACGCCGTAGTACTCGAGTAGTTTCCAAATTACTTCGCGGTCAACGCTGTTTGGCGAAGGCCTTCTCAAAATCTATGAAGGAAGTTGAGGTAGAGGTTTGATTGCCATTCCATGCTTTGTTCTGTGATGATGATGCGTAGAGTTGAAATTTGGTCAGAACATGATTTGCCTTTCCTGAATCCAGCTTGTTCTGGTTGGCGGAGTTCTGTATCCAGTGCGTCCTTTATTCTCTCCAGGATGATGCGACTCAGGAATTTACTTGGCGTCAACAAAAGCATGATTCCTCGCCAGTTCTTGCAGAGTGAGGCCTAAGTCGCCCTTCTTTGGTAGTTTCACGAGGTAACCTTTCCTCCAGTCAGTAGGCACCTTTCTCTTCTTCCAGACTTTTTGCACTAATGGAGTCAGCATATCTGCTGTCGTCTCTTGGTCCGCTTTCAGTGCTTCAGGCGGTATTCCATCTGGTCCAGCTGCTTTTCCAGCTTTCAGAAGCTTGATTGCATTCAAGACTTCAGCTTTCGTTGGAGGATTGGTGTCAACTTGCAGTTGTGTATGTGCTGTTGTTGGTATTTCTGGACGGGTTGCAGGTGGTGGTCACGATTAACACGATTTCAATCCTCAGATATCATCGAAGCATCCGTACCAGGGGCTGAGATGTCAACAGAGATGCCACTTTTCAGTCCTGCATAGTCAATCAACACAAAATTCAAACTTTGACCAAGAACAAAAAGGTGCTGAATCTATTTGAGCAGCCTTTTATGAATGCCGCAAAGGGACGGTTATCGTTAAAACCGTAGAGTCTGGAGACGAGAATACTATTCATACGAGCAAGAAAGAAATTCAGAATATGTATAATCAGTGTGCACCGTGATTGTGAGCTACCTAGTGTTATGGTGGCCACATTGCAAACCTGACTGGCTGACTGACAGAATTCAGTCTGCACCAAAGAGACGACTAGAAGCATCACACTAGTTACTACTGTCCAATCGAAATATCCATTACAGTCTCCAAGGGGGGTCAATCACGAGCCCGAATAGCTCAGTGGTAACGTCTCTGACTGCAGTACTCATTGGGACGTGAGCTGTTCCTTCGGTGTGGTTGCAGATACGCCTTGCTGACTGACTGGCGAGTGCCAACTAGCATGAAACCTAGTTGGAAGGCTTCCTGTGGCCGATCGCCCCCAACCATCTCATATCATCAAATCAATGTGCACCGCGATGGCAAGCTACCTAGTGGTATGGTGGCCACATTGCAAACCTGACTGGTTGACTGACAGAATTCAGTCTGCGCCAAAACAGGGGACTAGACAAATCGCACCAGTTACCAGTGTCCAATCATAATAATGTAATCACTTTATGCCAAACAATAGTGGGATTTTTAGAGTTTGTCCATAAATGTAGCTCCTTTTGTAGATTTATATATATATATAAACAAATAACCAAGTACTGTACGACAATGCTGCATGCCAAGTAATCCACAACAGGAAAATCAAGGAATCCTTCGAAGTGAGGACAGGAGTAAGACAAGCTGGCTGCCTGCCTACTATTGCCAATGATTTTCCTGATTGCAGTAGATTGTATAATGTGACAAACAGCAAATCGGGCAATGAGGAAACAGGCATAAAATGGACTCACACAAAATACTTGGAGGATCTGTGTCTGGATTTCGCCGATGATATATGTCTGATTTCCCACAAACTGGAAGATATGCAAGTGAAAAGCAACAAGTTGGCAGAAGAAGCATCCAGAGAAGATAGCACTTCAGGTGAACATAGAGAAAACAGCTGTGGTGATGAAGATTCCTGGGCAACATCACCAACAGCAACAACAACAACAAACAACAATCAGCATAAATGGAAGGAACCTGAAAGAAACAACCTCCTTTACTACCC